AATAATCATTTTTTTTTCTAGTGTAATGATGTGGAGTAGTGCTAGGAGCATTACGGACCACATTGTTTGGGTTGGCCAGGATGGAAGAGGATTTTTTAAGACCACCGACGAGTTTCTTCTCTGTGGTGGACGGAGACATGGCAGGCTTCTGACTGGATAGGTTTTTGGTAAAGTTTCTGCAATTTCCCTCACGGGATCAAAAAATTATCTATCTAAAGTGCAAGGCTTGACTGCTACTTTGGGACAGTGTTTTTTGGGTAACCGGGGTAAATTGTTTTCATATGCTTTGTGAGTGTTGTCCATTGTGCATAATCTGCATCTTGAGTTCGGCGTGAAACGTAGATTAATAGTCTGTAATAAAGGGAAATTTGTAGAAAAACTGTTTTGTTTGGTCTGTGGGTGCACTGTTGGTTCTGGTAGATATTAATGAACTCGTAAAGGGGGGAAAAGTCCCTGCACCTTTAAAATTGCTAGGCGGTATAGTCAGCTACAAAGTTTATAAGTAGTTGCTGTATTTAGGGGTCACCATCCGAGACACAAATATACATATTTCACAGTCGGTGACATTAATATGAAAATTAGTATCCACTTGTCTCCCAGAATAGTACAACGATATAAAATGCACCTTTATTTGTTTTGAACTGGTAAATATTATAAATAACGTCATTCACGGTGTCTGGAGCTACAGGGAAGCTTTAGCTGTAAAACGACAATTTCAGTAAAACGAGGAAATAGCCTTATACTGTAAGATACTAATTGAGTACTGTACGTCAACGAAGTTTCGTCATACAGTATAAATCAACCATCATGTAAAATAAGCAGTCCCTGCTCCTTAATATTTAAGTTTACTGCTTTATTGTCATTACGTTCTGTTCTTTCCAGTACTAGTTTATAATATCACACTGGAAGCTGTAACACCGTCCCAAGACAACACCATTAACAACATGATAGCCGTTGCTGTGGAAACCCCACTACGCACTTTACGTATGCTCCTGCCGTACGTGTCTTTGAGAATGGTGCTTTTGTAAGAACTGTACGTCATTTCCTTTATGCTGCAGCCTGCTGTCATTTTCACAACAAATAGGTAAAGATAAAAGTTATTTTTTTCCTCTAATACAGTTAATATAAACTAGATAGGTGATCGTAAGAAATGTTTAGTGATTTAATATTTTAAAGACTCACGACTGGCCTCTTACTGAAGTTACACTCTCAATGAAAATGCAAGATCAATTATAATTTTTAACTCCATTTTAACTACATTGCTTTTTTAATTTCTGCTTTTTATTTTCTTGTGCGAATGCGGTACTGGATTTGTAACCTTGTGGCAGGCTGACAGTGTATGCAAATAACACCTCAATTTAATGTTCTTTTACGTCACTAGAAAATAAAAACTAACAACGATTAAATTATCTGCTAATTTAACCCTTTTTACGTCAGATTGGAGTCCTTTATATTTTTAACATCGAGATTCCCGCCTTACGTACCGCTCAACGTGTGGGATTTACATATCTTTTTTTTTATCTCCAGTTATCGTCTAGTACGGTAACTTCTATGTTACGCTTTAAATAAATGGTATATACGGTACAGTACGTCGATCAGATCCATTTTGGTCATTGTACACTTAGCTTGTATTTCTGTTTAGCTGTGCTATGCTATAGAGTTACATGTTTTAGTTTTATTTTGATTAAAAGTAGCGCACAAGACACTGAAATTAAAAATAAAAAATACAATTGCCTTTATGGGCCGACAAACAGATTAGCCCCTACGGGCTAGAACAAGAATTGAACATCTCTCTGAAACTAAACCCCCCGCTGTAAAAACGCTGCCCCAGCCTATGAGCCTGTTACCAGACAACACAGGCTACTGGTGATGGACATCACAATATTGAAGGA